AACAGGTTGGGCTCGGTGGTTGTGGTCCTAGCTAACAAGAAGGCTGGATAACAGTGGCAATATGGTGAGACTGTCAAAAATACCTGAATATCTCTCTCTCACCCTCCTTTTCTCTTTCTCAAAAAAAAAAAAAAAAAAGAAGGAAATAGAAACTCACATCTTTGGACTGAAGTAGTACACACTACTTACCTCCCTTCTCATATAGTACGTAATTCGATAGATGTTATGGGTTGTGTTCCTCTAAAGTTCATATTACAGTCCTAGCCCCAAATACTTTAGAATCTGACCTAATTGGAAGTAGGGTCATTGCTGACTTAGTTAGCTAAATTAAGATGAAGCCAAACTAGAATAAGTTGGGTCCCTAATCCAGTATGGCTGAAGAGGAACCTGGGGCTGGAAAGCAATGTGGTGGTTAAAGGCGCTGGACTCCAACATGGCCAAGCACGTTTCAGTCCCAGACCTGGCAGCTTGCTTTCTCACTTTCTCTCTGTCTCTGTGTCTCTCTCTTGTCAAACAGAATAATAATAGTAAATAAAGTTAAATAAAATAATTATTTTTTAAAAAGAGGAACCTTGAGTATAGATGCTTGCACAAGGATGATGCCCTGAGGAATCAAGTTATGCTGTCCCGAATCAAAGGACTGCTAAATGCTAGGAGGGAGGTGGGAACAGACCCTAGGCTAGTGCCTTCAGAGGGAACAAAGCCCTGTTGACACCTTGATCTTGGACTTCTAGTCTCCAGAACTGAGACAATAAATTTCAGTCACTCAGGGCACAGTACTTGGTTACTTGGTAGCCCTAGAAAATTAATAAAGTGGGTTTGGAGTTGATTGGTTTGATTCCTGAATCTGCATTTTTTTAAAGAGATTTTTGCTATAGGGCATGTGCACTCACCAGAGAGACAGACAGACAGAAAGCAAGAAATCCAGTAGATCCTGCAAGGAGTGGCTGAGTACTGCCAAGAGGGCAGAGGATGGTCATACTGTAATCCCTTCTTGTCGATTCTCCTCTCAGGATCTTGGGCATGCACGCACAAATGCCTGATGTGAGTTTCAAGCTGCTGAGTCTGGGACTCGAACCACAGTTGACTATGTGGGAGTCCAGTGCCTTAACCACTATGCTACCTGTTGACCTCCTAAAACTACACCTTTTTTTTAAACAAGTATTGCTTGTATCTTATAAGTAAACGTTCTTCCTGCCACTTTGGGAAATACTGCTTCAAAGCTCTAAGAAAAAACTTAAACATTGGAAAGTAATAAATAGGTGCTTATTGTTCTTCCAGTTTATCAGTCATTAGAAATTGGTTTAAGGGCCATTGTATTCTGCCTGGCAAACTTTCCACTCCCTTTCTTTTTCTTTTTTTTTCATAGTTATCCATTATTTAGCACATTTCTGTTATGTCAAGTCTGGGCGTAAGCCCCTTTGTCCTGTTAAACTTTTTTATTCTGTATCAGGCAGAGTCGTCCGGCGTTTTCTCTAATCCACGTACTTCACGCCTTTGCGTGTCGGAAGTCTCATCCTTTGCTGCCCCTACAGTAACCTTGTGGAACTCTTTGAGAACTTGCCGCTGGCTGGGTCTGATATGGATGTGTGACTGGATCTTGGTGATGGCTCTGACAGCCTCCTCTGGAGTACAGTTATGCACCTGAATCAGATAAGCTGCCACCATCGCAGCACTTCTGGAGCGCCCAGCCTTGCAAAGCACGTAGACACTGGCCCAGCGCCTGGTACTTGAGAGCAAACTGGACCCCTTTCTGGAGGTTAGCTAAGGTGCGGATCCCTATCATGTCGACTGGGCTGAGCCGCAGCTGCTCCACGCCTACTCTCTTCCACTCCTGGGAGGAGATGCACAGGAACCTCGTCTCGTACTCCTTGCTCATGGTGATCACCCCGCGGACGTTCTCGTCCTGCACCAGCTGGTGTGTCATGTTCCGTAGCGCGCCCAGCAGCACCGTCGGGTCGATGCTGTGGTACCAGGCGCGGTGCACCGGCTCGGCAGCTTCCAG